GGCCATGCAAGGTTTCTCCTAAGAACGTGCGCCTGGAACAGAACAGACAGATTGTCAGGGTAGAGTTGAACTGAAAGGGCCTGTTAACACGGTCCCTTGTTTCCGTCAATTGTTGAGGTTCGAATCAGGTCGTGTCAGGCCCAAGGAGTCGGCGGTACCTCCTTTGGAGCCCCCGAACTCCTAGGGCTGTAGGCCATCGCCGTAATATACGGCGTACGGCCAGCCGTAATACGGCGCCGTAACCGTACCGTAAGGCCCCTTGGGGACCGAGTTGACGGTATGGTGACGGGACGTCGGTGACGCCGTAAGGGTGGTCCTGTATAACCTCGGCTATCCTGGGATTTGATCCGGAGATCGTCGATCCGTCCGGTATCGGACCCCTGGGCGCCGGTTGCTAGGGCCCAGCGGCTGCTGGTGGTCAGCCAACACAGCCAGGCCAGCACTCAGGCGGGCCTGCACTGCCGGGCCGGTGCTTGGCACCGCTGCCCGCCCCAGCCCAGTCGCTCGGAGCCCGACTTTGGCCCAGGTCACACCGTGTGGCCTAGCCGGCCGTACCGTCACCGTAATACGGCGTGACGGCACCATCCCGTACCATAAGCGCCTTGAACTCGAGGGCTTACGGTACGGCATGGGGCCGTCCCGGCGCTGTCAGAGGCCGTACCGTACATGGCTCTACAGCCCTACAAACTCCCCCGACATCCATCCTCAGGGTCGACATGCTGACACTAACGGACAAACAACTAGCATCCACCAAGGATGACTGCAGCAACCTGACTGAGTGATACACAGCCACGCACTCGCGATCACGCTCTGCGGTTCGTGTGCTCAACGTCCAACGTGGGAACATTGCGTAACTAGTCCCAGGGTTAACACTCCAGGCCCTTGCCAATATGGCAGGGCTGACCAGCCCCCTAGAAAAGGTGGGTGTTCCATGCTCGCCGTAAGTCACACAAGGTGGTAGAGGTTGCGTAGAGGTGTTGAATGGATCGCCAAGACATCTTGGTACTGTGGGGGGCGATGATCAAACATGATTGATGCATGTAGATCGCAGGCGAAGCTTGCGTTTAGTCGATGGAAGGCTACCATATAGGCATCGGGCCATGGCAATAGCTCACTCGGTGCCACCGGTAAGGCGCCGAAGGTGTCCCACACCCGCCCACGCCACACCCACACCATCACAGGCATGCACGCCTGTTGGCGCAGGCCCACGCCATTTGGCCACGCCCATGTGCGAAGTCTCTTCTGAATGCGAACTAAACCAGGTTGAACCTGAATGCCAAGTTTGATTCAAAGTTCAAGCTGGGGCCAAACCTGAACCGAAGTTCAGGTTTGGTGTTTGCGAACAAAGGACTTGAACTTGAACTGAACTGAACTGAACTTTGCTATCTCCATTAGGTGACTTTTCTTTCGGAAGTACAGTCTTCAGTCAATACATTCAACAACTGGACTAAATTTTGAGCTGAGTAAGAGTGAGTTGAATACTAGATTATAGTATATTCAGAGACCCTTCCAGCCATACCAGAACCATTCTGGAAGCTCAAAAAATGACTGAGATAAACTCTTCTGACAAGCCCAAGTGAGATTTTTGGCCAGGTAAAAGTGAGCTGAATGCTAGATTCAGAGGCCTTTAGGATACAGCCCTAATACTGTTTTGAAGTTATAGAGTAATAGCCTATAAGTTGCACTAACAAAAGTCAATAGATTTGTAGTCAATAAAAGTGAGTTCAATGCCAAGTTAAAACCTCTCTAATGATATATAATTGATATCAAAATAATAAAGCGGAAATCTTAACAGAGTTCATAGATTGAATACTTATTTAGCAGTTAGTAGCTGCCATAAGTGGTATTGACAAAAGTCAATAGATTTGTGGTCAGTGAAAGTGAGTTGAAACCTTGACAGAGTTGATTATCATTAGAAATTGAATACTCACTCAGCAGTGAAGGAGTATTTTGTAGTCAAAGTTTGGTATACAATCAAAGACCAGTTTGTAGGCCTATTGGACATTTGTGCATATATATGACAGATTCCAAATGGTCATTAGAGGTACAAGCCCAATACTGTTTTGAACCTAGTCATTGACTGTTATAAAAGTCAGTTAGTCTTGCCTTTCAATACCTTTCTGACCATATAGGAACCTCAGTAATGAGCCTAATACTGCTTTGAAGTCATTTGATTGAAATTCTGTGAATGTATAGTTGAAAGCAAGTTTTAAACTCTTGTGAAGAAGACCTTTATGGTCAAACTAGAAATAAGCTCAACTGCCACAGTATTCTGTAGTAAAAGTTGATAGATGTGTAGTCATGTTGTGTAATCAAGTTTGTAGAACTTTCTCATACCTCTCTGACCATATCAGAATCACTATCAACAAGTCAAAGCTCATTGAAATATAAGCCTTACTGTTTTGAACCTCGCCCCAAAAGACACCTATGATCTTCTACATTTTGTAATCTACCACTTTCATTATAGAATTCTGTCAACTTCCGGGGTAAGTTCAACTGAGAGTTAGCCAAGTTACACTGTTAGGCTAGTTTCAGAGATTGTCAGGTACCAACACATCTCAAAGTAGAGATTTTCAGTACCTTTTCAATGATCTATAAATTATCCCAAATGAATCAGAATTGACTGAGTTATGTTAGTAACAGGAAAAAAGTTCAAATCTGGACTGGCAGTTGCCTTATTGGCTCTTATGCTTCAGTCCCATGTGATAGAGAATTTGAATAGCTTTCTAATGGTATATAAATCATTCCAAACGGATAAGAATTGGCTAAGTTATAACCCTAACACTGTTTGAAAGTGGAATTCCATGATTTCCATCTTAAGTGAAGTTCAACTTAAGGGTTGAACTGGCCCTAAAGTCGGATTTCCAGGGACTTCCACTCAAAAGACACTCGTAATTTTTCACTTTTCTGTGTTTTCTAGCTTAACCATTAACAATTGGGCTTAGCTCCAAACTGAACCAAGTCATAAAATTTGAATATCTACAACTTTCATTAATTGACCCCCGACCTAAAAGTGGAAATCCAGGGATTTCCACCTGGCAGTTAGGTTAAAGTCAAGTTTAACTTAGGGATTGAACTACAGTGGAATTCCGCGGACCTCCACCTTAAAAGACACTCGTGATTTTTTACATTTCTGTGTTTTCTGGCCTAACCATTGACTATTAGGCTTAGGTCAAAACTGAACCTAGTCATTAATTTTGAATATCTACAACTTTCATCAATTGAGCCGGCCCTAAAGTGGAGTCCGCGGATTTCCACCTTAAAAGACACTCGTAATTTTTCACCTTTCTGCATTTTGTGAGCCAACTAGTAACAATTAAGCTTAGGTCAAAACTGAACCTAGTGTTTAATTTGTAACATCTATCACCTCACAAAGCGGGCAGTTATTCTGAAGGCTGGCAGTTAATTACTTCCAAGTATGAACAATCAGGCTTAGGGCCCAGTGGTCAATCTGAACTTGGCAAAGTTGCCGGCCCTAAAGTCCTGGCAGTTAAGTTCAACTAATTATTGAGTCTTTAGGGCCAGTCTTATATATTTTCTATACTAAGTCATTTATAAGGCTGGCCCTCAAGACTTTAGGGCCAGTCTTTATATTTTTTTATATATAAGTTATTTATAGGGCTGGCCCTAAAGTGTGGGAAAAAAGAAAAAAAAAAATACCCATAGTACAGAAAGAGAAGCCAACATGAGTTGTGAATGCAGGAAGAGTACAATCCCCCAGATGATCCACTTTGTAAGAAGACTTTTGTTATTCTGAACTGTTTTTAGCAGTTTTACTGAGTTGCCAATCAGGTGTAGTGGCTGAATGGGAGGTCACTACTCTCCCATCAGCTTAGTGGCAGTCTTAAGGAAGACTGCCAGACCAAAGATAAAATGCCACAACAAGACAGCTACTAGCAAACCACTGACGAACACACCATGACCAAGAGATTGAGCTCAGCTCGGAAGGTGTTGAACCAACCTCGCTACCCCTTGGCTTACCACAGCACATCCTATCTCCGCCAATTTAATGAAGCACAGACCAGACTGATCCACTTTCACTGTCTTCCCCCAGAACCCACAACAGGAAGAGCAGGGTCATTGAAGCCAGGCTGCTCTTCCATATATAAGGCAGGCCCACCCCTCAGCCCACCCCAAGTCCAAATTGCGCAAAAGCGTGAAAACCCATGTCCACAATTTCGCAAGACTTGGACTCCAGGAAACTCCGCAGTCATGTGGTTGAGGTCACATTTTATTGAAGTAACAATCACAACATCAATCACCACATCAACAACAACTCTTACGACGCTTACGAGGACCTTCCAGTCGGCCCGCTAGTTGCCGATGCCGATTGATCAAGACGTAAAGCTGTCAGCACGCCATGACATTGCGCTGATCTCTGGACGCATCAACTCTGCGGCCCAGTTCCTGCGGCGCACGGAGCCTCTCTCGTCCGCGCTCTGCCGCTGAAACCAAACCCAATGCTGGACGCAATGCTGGAATGCGGCCTCATTACTTTGCTGAGCAACACTGTCATGTATACCTACTCCACCGTCGAGCTCAGGCTGCCGCCAAATCAGGAGCAACCATGCAGCGCTGCACAGCTGTTTGGCTCTGATGTAGCGGCACAGGAGGTTCTGCGCCGTGTGGCGTACAGCGCGGGGGTGATCTCTCTGGACGTGGCAGAGTTCTGGTCCGGCCTCGCGCCGTCATATGCGCTGATGCTCCGGCGCGCGAATGCACACGCGGCGGCACGGTTTCCATTAAGGTGGTGTCTCGTTTTCTTAACATCTTGTAGCTCAAAAATATATAATATCAGTTCTGGAGGACTGGAATGCTCTAGTAGCATACCGTCGAAGTCTACATAACCTATAGGATTCAGTGGTCCACCAACTATGTTCTATGGTAGAAAACCCACATTCCCTCATAATACATAAGATTTTGTCGGGTTATAAGTTGCCCCAGATGTGAACGGAATGCGCCGCAGGCTCCCACCTGGGTTCTGTACATCGCAGTCAAACTTATCGATTAGTACAGACAGTAAAGGTTTCTGCTTTCATCGAGTTCCGTCTCTGTCCCTCTAATTCGCAATCCTCGTCCTCTGCAACCGGTCCGACAGCTCGTCCATCGCGCGCTTCACCGCACCGGCGCGACACCACACTGCTCGCTGTCGACATGCGCCCACAGCGCCTGAGCGTCTGGAAGCGGCGGCTGCACCCCGGCCCGCGGCAGATGTACGTCTGCTCCTCGTGGCGCGGGGCTCGCGAGGTGCTGATTAAGCCCGGGCAGCGTGGCGGAACTTGCCGTGGCAGAGGTAGCACTCGTACGCGGTGCCGTTCCAGCTGCGCCCGGTCGCGACGTAGCGCGTGTTGTCGCTCTCCGCCGCGGCGATCAGGCGCGCGGGGTCGGTGATCACGTTGCGCGTGTCCTGCGCGCGGATGTAGCGGTTGAGCGACTGCCGGTTCGCGCCCGACGCGCAGCTGCCCGCCTCGAGATGCGCGGCGAGCGACGGGCCGTTGATGAAGGACTGCCCGCAGCCGCGGCCGGGGCACGTGATCGTGGCGTGGCTTGTGCAGCGCCGAGTTCATATGCGCGTTGAGGTTGTTTGCGGAGGTGAACAGCCGGCGGCAGGGGGTGCAGTAGTGGTGCACGCTCGACTGGCGGCAGTGCTCGTGCAGCCCCTGCTCGTTCTTGAACACCCGCTCACACGAAGAGCAGTAGAAATGTGCGTCGTCCATGTGTTCCGCCAGCTCGCCGCCATCGTCGAAATGCTCGTCGCAGTGCTGGCAGTAGAAGTGTCTGCGGCTCTGGACGTAGTGCTCCTTCAGCCCCGTCCACGTCGTGTAGTCGATCTCGCAGTCGTCGCAGAGCCAGTGTGCGCTCGACGCCCGCTCGTGCTGCGCGAGGGCACCGTAGTGAGGGAAGTAGCGGTCGCAGCGGTCGCAATACACCGTCATAACGCTAATGTTCTTTGTGAGTACGGTCACGTCACGGGGCCCCGCACGCAGAGAAGCGCACCCTTGTCCCAGAAATTAAACTCGGATCTTCGGTGGTGGTGGTACGACGACATGAGTGTCACGCGCACGTGAGGAACGCCACGGTGTTTTGAATCGAGGCTGATGTCGTTACCTGCGTAACCGATATGCTTTAGAGCGGAAATGCGCTGCGAAAGGGGCCACGCGCCTTTGTTCCAAGCACTTATGCTACTGCCGAATGTTCTAGCAACAAGTTCTATAGCCAATGACCAATGTCCGGGGCAAACCTCGCTTGCTCAGCGTCGGCCTGTTCGAAACCGATGCATGGCCCCGCGCATTCAACGTGTCCTGGGCATCTCCCTAGATATATACATACTTATAGGTGAGCATGATCGAGTCCCGTGGAACAGGGTAAAGAGCATATAAAGAGGCATCGAGCGAATCCGGAGGGACAAACAGACCCGCAGGGCTGGTCCCAAGCGGCACCCGCGTTTTTGGGAAGTGACAGACTTTACAGTGCTGTACAAGGTTGCGAATACCACCGGACTCGGAATACGGGTCAGCCATACTAGTAGATTTTTCATACTTGGCGTCGTTCCTCCAGAATCAGCGTCGGCACTTGCGCGAATCGTCATTCGCAGCCCCGGAAACATCGCAGACGAGCTCCCCGCCTTCGAACAAGCCACCATCGCACGCCAACCCCTGCCCAAAGCGCACTTCCGCCGTCGCCATGTCCCCCACGACGAAGTCGAGTCGGCGATGAAATGGCGTCCGGCGGGAGCCCTACACTCGCCGATACGGGTCCAAACAAATTGAGCGTGTCATATAGGTCATGTAGCAGACGGAGGTACGGTCGAAAGAGGCCCAAGGTAAACGGGTGAAAAGCAGGAGCTGCATAGCGCTTTGTGTGACCACGACTCGGAGGGAAAGTCGAGTGTGGCGTTCATGGAGAGAGTAACGCGCATTTTCGTGAGATGCTCGTGGAATGAGGGGTATGCCGGAGCGTTATTCGAGGACCGACGGATGGAGGGGAATGACCAGAGGATTGGGAGCGCAGTTAGCCCTTTTGCCGCCGGTCGTCGCGACGAGAATGGTGAGCATTATCATCCGGGACTCTGAAGACAGCCCATAAGGCCTTTGAGCACTCCAAGGCACCACCAGCGCTCGTCAAATTCGGCCCAAAGCCCACTTCCAAATCCACCATGTCCCCACGACGAAGTCAAGACGCAGATGAAATGGCGCTCAGCGAGAGCCTTGTATCAGGTCCGAAAGAATTAAGCGTGTCATATCGGCCGGGTATTGGAAGGAGGTAGGGTCGATAGAGGGCGAAGACCAAAGGGCGAAGAGCTGCATATCGCTTTCGCGGAGAGTGACGTCGTCACGTGTGACAGTGGCTGTGTCGAAATTTTTCGAGGAAAGAAAGTCGTTCGGATGGCGCGTTGGTGGAGAATGTCACATTGTGTAGTTGATTAAGAGCTTTGAAGGAGTCTATGGTAGACGGAGGTGCATATGGCGGGCGGTTAGTCGAAGGCAATGGTGCTCGTTTTTCAAGTTTATCGAGAAGCAGGTCGCTTGAGAGTTTCTGGGACAGAGAGGCGGGGTTGTCGGCGGTTTTTTCCCCTACATGAAGAGTGTCACCATGAGGAGTGAGCTAGAACAGCAAACGCACCATTATCCGCCGCCTCTGTTTGTTCCTTCGGTTTTTTCTTTCTTAGAGGTTCCGAAATCCACTGAGTCGGCAGAGTATATTAGAAGAAGAGGACACGGGAAGTCGCGCTTGTTGGCGAGGATATGCGGAAGTCGCTGCAGCTGAATTCCAAACGATAGGTGTACTAGACGAAAAGCCAGATTTGTCAGACCGACTCGAAAAGAGGCTTGCTTGGACGCACCCGGTTTTCCTTCCGTGTCACGCTAATCTTTTAAAGAGCCCTCAACCTCCTTTTGAATCGAAGGCGTTCCCTCGATGGAAGAGCCCCGCTAGCGGGAAGTGATTGCTTTCGGGGAGTCGAGAGGGAGTAACCAGGATGGCGAAAGAGGATTATTGCATCGGTTCTCATTGAAGGAGTGGGGAACGGATGCATCTGGGCATGCCCAGCTGAGAATTGAAGGGGCTTGACCCGCTGAGACCGTCGCGTTGGCTCGAGATGGAGTCGCGGAAAAGCGGGGAAAGCATGGGGGGGCCGAGCCCAGCTGATAGCTACGGGGGAAGAGTGAGACGGACATGACGCAAGAAGAGCATGAAAAAACACACCCGTCATCCCTCTTCTTTGCCAGCGCGCAGTCCGCCCACCTCTTCACCTGCAGCCCCACCTGAGCGTCTGGCTCCCAGCGCTGCACAAGAAGAAGGGCCCTCTGAGCAGGTTCTTGCTCCCACTACCCGCTGCCCGCTTTCCTGCTTGCGCGGTCAATGACGTCGGCGATGCCGCTCGGCCCGCTCCAGCGCTACAACGAAGAAGCATCCACTCGGCCCACATCTACGCTCCGCCCCAGCATCATCTCCCCCCTCGTCGGTGCATGCGCGCGTTGTGGTGAAGGAGCAAAACTTCATCATCATGAGGCTGTGTGGGAACCCGCCCGGCCCTCGGCGCCGCATGCCGGATTTTTGTCAGCGTGCTTCTTTTTTATCAACCACCACATGCTCACCGCTGGAACCCCGTCTCCCGTGCCTTGCTGCTCAGGCGCGTCATCAACTCTTTGACTGGGGGCATCCTGCAGCTCCCTGGCCATTTCTCGCCCGGTGGATCGCCATCCGCTGTCAAAATCCTCAAGACCATGTACCGCTGTTGTCGCCAGTCTCACGGACGACTCCAAAGCCGTCCTTCGCGCGAACTGAGGCCCTCCTGCCGAGTTGCTTTCGTTTCTGCTGCCCTCTTCGCGGCCCCGGACGCCCGCGGCTTACTCCGAGTCAAAACTCCTCAACGCACAGCAAGGAAGACTCTGGGCGAAACAACGCGGGAGTTGTGGGGCCAAACTTCACGAAAACGCGCCATCGGGGCGGTCGACTGGCGCGAAACCCGCTACGCGCGAGCTGGGCCACTCCCTCTTCGTTGCGGTCGACTTTTGCGGCGATCTCCCCGCTCCGGGCCAGCGCAAGGCGCGACTATGGCCGACTCTTGGCCGCTTCGCCCAGAAATCGCCCCGGACCGCGTTCTCAACGTCCAGGGAGACTCTAGAGGCTGGATATATCTGTCTCGGCGCGTCTCCACGGTCTGCCACAGTCCATGGAGGCCGTCGTCGCTGTTGTCCGCGTTGAGCGCAAGGTCGGTGAGCGCCGAGCGCATTCGTCGCTCGTTCTGTCTGAAATCTTCATCGCAGGTAGCGCCAATCCAGTCCTCGTCTTCCTGAAGTTTTCAGGCCTAGGGCGAATAGCGAAGCGGGTGGGTCTGCGCGGAGCGGGTTCTGTTGCGCGAAACCCGAGGACGGCGGGCCGAGTTCTTGCTCGTGACGTCTGATACCAACAGGGTGGGGAGCACCAATATATCCTCCGTCCTCTCGAAACTCCAGGCGGAACGGGCCAGCGCCTGGCCCGGCCGGGGTTTTCCGAAGGCAGCCGCGTCCCGGCCCGCCTCGCGCGCGTTTAGTCTAGGAAGGAAGCCGCGGGCAGCGGCGCTAGGTGCGCCCATCTCCAACGAATCCCAAGCCAGACGACCCAGTTGTCGTGCTGCATCGCGCCGTCTCGTCTAGGTCGGTAACTCAGTCTTCTGCTGAATTCAAAGGCTGAATTCAAACAACTATAAGTGACTTTGACTCCAAAGCCATCCTTGGCGCGAACTGGGGCCCATCCTGCCCACTCCCCTTCCCTTTCGTCTCTCCTGCCTTCATCGCGGCCCCGGATGACCACGGCTTGCTCAAACTCTGGACGAAGAAGTTGCACCTACAACTCGGGAGTTCGGGGGCCAAATTTCACAAAAAGCGCACCGTATCAGGGCGGTCTACTGGCGCGAAACTCGCGACGCGCAAGGCACGCCACTCATTCTTCACGGCCACAGCTGTCTCGGCGTCTCCTCAGTCGATGGAGGCCATCGTCGCTGCTGTGCGCGAGATCGGTGAGCGCCAAGCACATTTGCTACTCGTTAGGGTTAGGTTAGCGCCATTCTGGCCCTCCTGTTCCTGAAATTTACAAGGGGAACGGGGCAGCGGCTCGCTCGGCGCGGAGCGAACTCTGTCGCGCGAAACTCGAGGGTGGTGGGTCCAGTTCTCGTTCGTTCCGCCTGATACACACAGGGCGGGGAGGACAAATATGTCTCTCCATCTTCTACAAGTTCCAAGCGGGCGCCTGGCTCTGCGCGGCCGTCTCCAGCGAATCCCAAGGGAAACGACCCAGCCGTCGTCCTGCCTCGCGCCGTCCCATCTCGGTGAGTGACCTCCGTCCTCTGCTGAATTCGAAGGCTGATTGCAATATGACGCACATTCTGCGCCATTGTCCCGCGCTCCTCGTCCTTCGATCACGCCGGCATGCGGCTGCGTTGTGTGCACGCGTTGCCCCGCGTTCCGACACTGCCCCAGGGCCAGCGGGCCGTGGACTCACAAGTGGAACGGATCACTGGCAGCGGCTGGCCCGCGCGATCAAAGGCGCAATTACGCCGTCCTGCCGCGCAGCCGGCCTTCCGCTACACCTCATCGGTATAAACGGCGCATGGAGCTGGGGAGACATACCGCTACCCCGCCAGCGAACCCGCCCGTATCCCTCAACGCGCTGCTGGAGCAGTACACAAGGTCTTCCAGAGGGAAGACATCCCTGCCGATCGAGCCGAAACTCGGCCAGAGGGCGCGGAAGGCATGGAGGTATATCATCTGAGAACTTCGTGTAGCTAGTTGTAGCATTATGTCTTCATTCAATATTCACTCTTAAGCTGGACTGAAAACTCTCTAGATTGATTTTACCTGAGTTATGACACAATATCAATTGCAACAGTGAAGTTCAGCTGTTACACTATGTTGTATTGGTGAACTCACATCAAACCTATTTTGGGTTGAAGACT